AGGAATAGTGTCCCTGGAACTTCCGTTTCTAGCCTACTTGGCATCAGCCCACCACATCCCGCCTAAGCCTGGAATTTAAACCCGTTTGGGTAACTTAGTAGGCATTTGAACCGCTGTAGTCCATATCGCAATAAAAGCAGACCGGTGAAAGGCACTCACATGTCCCTGAACTGGACGGTTATCTGGGGCCAATCACATTTCCCAGGTGTCTATGAATGGCGAGATTGGTTGGACATGGGAAGATGTATCTCCGAATGACAGATGGTCCTTTGCTAAATTTCCAGGCGGTACCTAGTCCCGTTTCCTAAGCTTGTCACTGACGTTAGTGCTAATCTTGACAATAAACCTGGCTTCAACCCCCCCTTCCTCCCTTGGAATCTAGCGCGAGCCGACCTGTAATCGAGGGAGATTCCTATTCCCCCGGCCTCCTGGCTAGGCTTTCAAACCCTATAATAAGTCTAACCAGAGTTGTATCAGAAGCTCAGGCTCTTATAGATCTGAATAAGAACTTCTAGCAGGTTGCAACGGCTTTTTTCTGACAAATATTGTGCATGTTGGGTCTAACACAAACAGGCAGCTCTACTGAAGGGCCAGCAACTCGAACACTTCGGTGTTCCGACGCCTATCGAGTTTACGTTACTCTCAAAGTCTCCTATGAGGAGACAACTAGGTTAGGCCTGCGAGGTCAATTTATTAACGTGGGGAGTATTTTACAGGAGAAGCGTTGTCAAATTAATGGTCGTGATTGTAAGATTATCCTATCAAGTGCAACGCATCAGAAACTGACTTATTCTGACCAAAGGAACGCTTATCAGCCACACACAAACTCGTTCCGTCGTGTTTCGGATCTCCGGCCTTATCCAAACGCGGGTAGCTAAGTAGCTGACGATGGCTGATAAAATGGTCATTTTAGTCTCCCGCATATGTACCTGTCCGTATTCCCTCTAAAGAGCAGTATACTGCCTTCGACTTTAGCCACATAAAAGCCATTTTCTCTAGCTTTTATTAACCTAACATTTGTCCACATTTTAGACGCCTTTGGGACTGACGGCCGTTGCATGCCTCAGATGCGCTCCGACCTTCCGTACGGCGGGCCGGTGCGGGCAACCGACTCCTCATCAAAGGCCATTACAAGTCCTAACCTGAATCTGACCAATCCAGGCTTCGTCTCCCACCAGCAGCAACCCTCCTTGGTCTCCTCTGGCCTCTCCTACACCAATTCTTATCCTAATCACTTCAATCAGTCACTACAAGCAGCCAC